TAATTTACAGATTTTCCAAATAGGAATTAAAAAAAAAAAGTTCATGTCCATGCATCTGTTATTTTTAAGGTTTTACTTTGTTTGCAATAGGTAACACTTCCTTTTTGAAGAAATCAGTAACTTGAATGTGTTTGGCCAATTACATACATATGAGATGCGCTGCATAATTCAGCAAGTGACCTACAGCTGAGGAGACTTGGTGTTTAAACACCTTGTAAAGCAAAGTAGTGACTGGGGGTTTGCCCAGGTACAGTCTTGTAGACCAGCAATCTGTAGCTGTGAATGATGGTTAGCATAAGCAACCTGTGACTGGTTCCTACCTTAGCCAAACAGGGTAGCTGTCACTGTGTAGTAATTTTAAGAATCCTTAAGTAAAACAGAAAGAGATAAGGAGAAAAACAAACCAAACCAACCAAACAAAAAAACCCACAACTAACCAATCAAAAAAAAAAAAAAAAATGTAGAAGGGAAGGTAATATCTGAGGGAAGAAAATCAACCACTGTACAAGCAGAGGCATTCTGAGCATCATGTAAATGGAAAAATTATATGACAGGACTAGAACAAAGAAAAAGCAAACACAACTATGTAAATCTCTGCATGCATTCATTGGAGAAAATCCTCAGGCTCCCAGGACTACTGAGACAGATGGCCAATGGACTGGTGAAAGCTTGTTTATGCTTTATGCAGTCAGGTATTTACCCAATAAAGCTTGTGTGCTAAAGGAGTCACTTTATCTCAGTTGCTGATTACTTCATTGCCCGTTACCTAGATTTATTGGTTTGGCAATGCTCTTACGAAACCAAGTAGGGCCAAAGAAACTACATGGAGTCTTCCTACAGGTTCTGAATGGTGCTTTGTCTTTAGAAGACACCCAGTTTAGGTAGTTTGCTCATTAAACAGTCTGAATCATCTTACTTCCCTGTGCATCCCGTTTCCCTGTTCCAGAGGAAAGGAAGGCTCCCTTTCCTGCGCTGGTGGCAGGTGATGCTTCGCTGTGGCAGTACAGTGCTCTCCAAGGTCTCATTTCATCACTTTAGCCCCATTTCATGGCTGCCCCAAGTCAATTTCCAAGGAACTGTTATAAAGCACCAGTCAGCCAGGTGAAAGAACAACATATCTCACCAACGAAAAGACTAAAAAGACATTTCTTCACAGCTAACCCCAACCCCCCCAACCCTTAGCGTTTGGGCAGCACCTGCGAGTGCTCCCCAGGGTTGGGTGGGCTCGAGGGCCCTGACCTGGTGGGGGAGGACCCTGAGGGGGCTTAGGCAAAGGGTGGCTGCTTCAGGTAGAGCTTGCATTATGGTTAAACACGTTTTTCTGTCCTCCCTTCCTCACAGGTGTCAGTACGTTCTTTTACAAAATGCCTTACTCTCTGGGTTTTCCAGCGCTACTGTTGTAATTAAGGTGAGAAGGTGGGGTCTGTGGGAAGGACTTCATGCCGACAAGGGGAATTGCCCCTAAAATGCCTGATGCTGTTCTTCATGCTTTTGAGGTGTTTCGGACTGCAAGAAGGATAATGCAGTCTCCGGTGACACTTCAGTCTGGGCGAAGAAAAAAGGCTTGGTTATGTGACGTAGAGGAAATACACTCAAGGAAAAAAAAAAAACATAGGTTAGGCACTACATAGTGTTTTGAGTCTTGTATTGCTGAAGGTTGGCTTTTGTTTGTGTGTTTTCAATAGCCAGGACTATTTGGGAATTGTACATATTTGACCAGTGAGTCAGTGCTCTCATTATTTTATGTTTGTCAGAAACAGTGACAGAAACTTCTTTGTACAGTTTTAACTATTATGTCTTTTTATATGTGTATATATATACATGATTTTATTTTCCAATTACATCAATATTCCAAGGTATACTAAAAAAGCTAGATTTTTGCTTTCAACTATCCAGAGAATTACACATTTGTGTACAGGAGGGGGCAGTCTTTCACTGTTTCTTCCCTCAGGCGGCATGGTGTTGAATTATTTAATTTTAGGTGAAGGCTGCTACAGGAAATGAACTATATTAACGTGATTATTTGTTTAAATACGTATTTTGAAGCCCTCATCAGGGTAATTGTGTTATGCAAAGTAAAAGATAGCAGCCTCGGGTCCCGTGGCAGCGTAATTTCGGCTGGAATTGATTACTTCACAAGTTACAAGTGAAACTGTGTACCCAAAATTGCACACACATGCCTTATCTGCCTGAAGGTAATGGTATGCAAATTATTTGGGCTTCAGTGGTCTGTGAGTGGGCTCTGAGAAGAAGCGATTAGCAAAGGAGACTTTTTTTAGCATTTGAGGTGATTATGAGAATGCTGGAGGCTAGTATCCAGGGGAGGCTCTGTGTGCAAGCCTGTCAGGGGTGAGCTGGAGCCACTCAGCTGGTTTCTGTTAGCCTTTTCTATTTATGATGACTGCCTGAGGGCTGAACAAGCCAGGCAAAGCTTAAAACAAAAAAACCTCAGGTCTAGCTGCACACGGACACATGCACATACACACGTGTGCACATAGCTCTTCATACAGCATGAGAATTGTGAAGGGCACACTGAAGATAATAAGACCAATGTGACTAAAGGTGCAAGCCAACATCTTTCCACTTTGAGCCTGGCATGAATCTACATCTAAAAAGTTGACTACCACTATTTAGTAAGTCTTGCTACAATTTTTGGCTGTGTAAAGACCCAATGAATTACTGACCACCTGATAAACATGCTGCCCTTCTTCCATCTAACAGGGAACATCACCGGTTTAGCATGGCAGGAAGGAAGAGCACCTGTGCCATCACCAGCAAATAAACAGTAGGTTGGATGGATGCCTTTTGGGCCTGCACCATTTGTGGAGCTCATTTAGCTGGTCCAGGCATAGACTACCGTGCCAAGATTGATAATGGGGGGATGCATCTGAAGCAGCATGTTGTTCACCTTCGTTATGGTGAAGGATGCTAATTGTTGGTGTAGCTGCTCTCCTTCATAGGGCTTTTGAAGCTTAATGATGGCTTCCGATGGCACCAACAGACCTGTGGCTACCTCTCTGGCTTCATTAAATCACCCTGTTCATTTATATTTCTGAGCTGGAACAGGACTGTTTAGGCTTGTATTTGGTGGCTTTTTGTGCTTGTTTCTTACTATTGGTTTGAATGCTTTTGTGTTGAAAGAAACTACTTTGCAGTACAGATATATTCAGAGGAAAAGTGCTCCTTTTCTTCTGAACGTGCAATCCTTTTCTTCTGAATGTGCATTCATAGCTTCTTAAGTCTTCAGAGTGCCATAGTTTCCACAGTGTTTGCATTTGCTGAAACAAGGCAGTAAAATGATCCACAAAGCCGTATTTTGTGGTTGAACACACATCCAGTGAGGAAGGTAGCAGTGAAGGTTACACAGACTCTCTGCTCAAGTTTACATAGCGGAAGTAGCTGATAACCTGTACGGCGGCATGCATTTTTAGTTGGGCTGTGGTCTTTAGGACGCATGCTTTGGATGTCCCTCATTTTCTATATGAGTGTGAACCACATAAGCTCTTATTTTGGATTGTCAGTGCTAGTCAGCTGACATTCGTTTCATCTTCCGGCTCTCAGATGCATGCCTTTCTATGGCCCTGTACTTGCTCTGCTCGGATATGAGGCATTGCTTCATAAGCAGAAAGAGAGGCAACGTGCTTTCCTCCCCAGAAATACTGCCCATTTTGTTGTTCATCTTGGGCCTCCGATGCAGCTCTGCCCTAGGTGCAGTTTTGCTTCTTTCTTGTTCAAGTGGAAACAGTCATTTCTGGGGCAACCTGGAGACTGCAAAGATAAGTTCAATCAATAATTTAGTGCACAAATTGCAGTCGTGGTGCTGTGCCTGCACTGCAAAGGCAAATTCACCCTAATTTATGACTTGAGAACGAGAAATCAGATGGTGTGCACTCCAGAAATAAATTCACTTGCTGAGCTGACTACTCAGCTGACAGATGTGTTGGCACCACAGACCTCTCTGGAGACTTGCAGAAGTTCCTTTGGCCTATCAAGAAGCACTTTGCATCATCTCCCATGGCTCACTTTATTAGTGTCATGTGCACATTCATGCAAAACTGGAAGCTGAACGGGATGTGTGACGCTATTTTGGGTTGCTGTGTAGTGTGACACTATTTCACATAAATGTTTCCAGTATTGCAGATAACTGATAAGTGTTTTTCTGTTTTGTTTTGCCTTGGTTTGGTTTTTATGTCCTTACACTTGTGATTATAAAACTATGCACCTGTTGTGGTTTAACCTGACTCTGGCAGCAAAGCAGCACAGAGCTGCTTGCTCACTTCCCACCCAGTGGGATGGGGGAGAGAACTGGGGGGGGAAAGTAAAACTTGTGGATTGAGATAGACAGTTCAATAGGAAAGAAAAGGAAAAAAAAAAAAAAAAAGATTACTCAGAATAAAGCAATGCACAATGTAATTGCTCAGCACCAGATGACGGATGCCCAGCCAGTCCTCAAGCAGTAGCTGCCTCCACAGTCAACTCCTTCGTTTTAGGGTTGATCAGAACACTGTATGGCATGGGACATCCTTTTGGGCAGCTTGGCCAGCTGTCCTGGCTGTGGCGCCTCCCAGATCCTGCTGCACTCCCAGCCTCCTTACTGCCAGGGCAGCACCAGGAGCAGAAATAGTCTTGGTCTTTTGTACGCACTGCTAAAAAAAACTAAAACATGGTTGTGTTATCAACAGGCACATCCTAAATCCAAAACAAAGCACCATACCAGCTACTAAGAAGAAAATTAACTCTGTCCCAGCTGCAACCCAGCTGACCTCCACGTCATGATTTGCTCTAAGATTCTTCACACAGTAGAAATGGCAAACACATTTTTGATGGACTTTGCTGTGAAAAGGAGTCTGATAGCAATTGTGGCATGATGAAAAAAAGAGAAAGAAAAAAGGGAAGAAGGGAAGGTTACCCACAGGTTCATAGCTGATGCGTTTCTGACACAGAGGCTGAAACCACAGTGTGTGTCTTTTTTTTTTTAAATAGCTATTCTGTTTTTCTGAGAATTTTTCAGTAAGGAAGCGGTTAGCATAAAAGCATCCTTTAAACATTTCTCCTCACCTGCTTCATGTCACATCCCTCACTAGTGACCTAAGCTAGTAGGATTTAATGATTTCTTGGTGAACAAGCTCATGCAGAAATGTATACATACTAGCAAAGAAACGATCATTTCTAAAATGTTATCTGTTTTCACCTTCCAGGCTGTATTGTGTGCACTTATTATTCTTGGAGGTAAGATTTTTACTTTTATTTTTAATTTGATTCCTAATTCTGTAGCCATTACGTGCTTTTACACTGAACTGTGATTGAAAATGTGTTTTGGTGTGGATGAGATCCTAGAGGTTTGGTTTGTTAATTGCAGGATCAGGACAATATTTGAGGATTATGTTGAAAGAAAATTGTTTGCAATGACCTTGTTTTGTGTGTTGTACTTTCAGCTGGTGGTGATGTGACAACGATAAATGGGAATGAATGCGACTATGTTATTTTTGACCCTGGCTATGTCCAGTTGGAGCATCCTTCTCAGATCAGATGGTACAAGGGAGGCACGCTCTTAAAGCAGGGGACACATGGCAGCACTGGGTACGGCCAGTGGCTTCGTGTCTTTCGTAACGGGACACTGGGGCTCCGCGTTGTTGGGAAGGAGGATGCAGGACAGTACACAGCTAAGGTCTGCACCAGCTCCCAGCGCTGCGTTCACCAAAGGACATTTCAGTTACATGTACATGGTGGGTGCAAGTTATCACTTTAACCTTCCCTTACTGTGTAGGGATGCCTGGATCAGATGCTAGCTTGCATTACGATGTATAGGATGTGTGTTCCTGGCTGGCATCTTCTACCTTTTTGTTCTTGAGTTCACATATTAACCTCGTGAGAACACTTGCCTGCCATGATTTTGATTAAACATTTGTTCTGCTCACGATTAGTATCTACACTTGTGCCACAGGTCTAGAAGCAAGATGCTACAGTTAGACTTAAATGCAACTATGACTTTATATCAGATCTTGATTTTGTTGTCATCTTATCCACTGCTTGAAATTACTGGCTACAAAAAATAGATTGTTATTTTGAAATCTCCGCTGACATAGCACAGTGAGCTGGTCCAGCGAGTTTTCCTGAAAGTGGCATTAGCCTTCACTATGTGTGACCCATAGTGGGATAATGTGGTGATTTAGGGTCCTACAAGATGCTGATTAGGACTGTTCTCCCTTTTCTGAGCATCCTTGAGATGTTACAATTCCTTGGGGTGACAAGACACAGAAGATTAGTCGGGATTTTGCTCTGTTCTGCTTTCCTGCTTTCCATGTTGTCAACACCACCCTCTGCTTACTGCTGCACGGTTACTTTGCAACTTTTTACCCACAGTTGTTACTTTGGGTTGCATAAATTAGATGCTCCATTCTGAAGATATTTATTTATTTATTTATTTTTCTTCTGGCTCTAGTACTATATTGACTGATTTGAGAGTTTGGGGATGAAAGAATTAAGTACAGATAAGCAAAATCCTTGCTTGTCAGGGCAAAATAATCTTTGCCCAGAAGTGATTAGCTTTTTGGAAACAAGCAATTATCATTAGCATGGGAATTATTTTCATTCAGACATAGAGATTACAGTAATTTTATAACTTAGACGTGCTGAATTCCGCTTATGACAAAAGACATAAGGCTTATTGTTTCCGTTTACTTCTGACACAGCAGCTGTTGTAAATGCCAGGATCCAATTTTGTAGAGAAACTGTGAAAACATACTCTGGGTTTTGGTCAGTGTCAAAGACAATATTCTAGATGTGTCCCTAGGCATTAATATATATGACGGATGCCTGATTCATAATACACTCTTGGTATGCCTTGTGACCTCCCTGTAGGATTCTCCCTTCTTAAATCTAATCCAAGTAAACTGCTTCCTCAGCATGATGAGGCATTGGACTTTCTTAGGGTTCTTAGGGAACTGTTCAGGGACTTAATTCATTATTTGCCTTTTCTTCAAAGTAAGCTGTGTTGGCATGCAGATCCTGCTAGATTACTTGTAAGCCAGTGTGGAAATGCTTCCGAGGTAGTAAAAGATTTCAAAAAGCAGAAGTATGGGATATCCTGTATCTCCCTGAAGTAAATATTCACGTGCACATATTTCAACAGGATACCTTGTCAGAGGGGTTGTAGGTGACTGCGTTGCTTTTCCCCTGGCCTGCCTGCGGTCAGCTGGGTACATCCATGCCATCTGGAAGAAAGACGGACAGCGAGTGGCTCAGATCAGAAGGAAATCGGTGAACGCCTTAGATGTCTACTGCATGAGGGCCCATGTGTTCTCCAACGGCAGCCTAAGTCTTTGCCCCACGGAATGGAGAGATCAGGGAGAGTATGTAGCAGAAGTGTATCATCAGGATGGCTTGCATTTGCATCAGATTTTTCACCTGGAACTGAAGAGTAAGTCCAAGCATGCTATACACGTTTGTTAATGTATGTATTTCTAGAAGGTGTCCTTTCTGTGTTTGCATGCCTCACTTTGGGTTACAAAATGATTAGAGGAGTCTTTTCCCAAATGATGCATGTTGTCGACAAATGAAATATCCGGAAAAACATTTGCACATTTCTTCCCTTCCTTCCTCTTCTCTGAGTGTAGTCGTGTTGTAGGATTCAAGTCTAAATGTGTAGGTTGGATGGGGTTAGCAGAGAAAGGAGAAGCACTTATTTCTATGGCAAGTTCTGAAAATAACATGTAGATGGTGTATGCTACTCTGGCAAGTTTCCTTTTCCAGAGCCTGTTTTCCAAAGGTGTCTTAGTTCATGAAATTCAACAAAATGGTGGCCCAAGACCAGTCACTTTCCCCGTGAGCCAGCATATGAAGAGAAGTATGCCAGTATGAAGAAAAGCAGAAGTGTAAGCAATCTCCATAAAATAGTGAATTGGGAGAGGGTCCAAGCAGGGTCCACATTCCTGTGGTTTACCTCATGTTTGTATCAACCTCAAACTGCATCTTGTAACAAGAAGCCAGGCCCCTATCCCTGCTTGTGAGTCCTGTGCCACAGAACAGTTTGCCTGTGGGGAGAGGGTACCACAGGTTAATGAGTGCTTGGGACAGTCATGTGCCTGAGGGTGGTTCTTGTCACGTTCAGACCAGCTTTTCAGATGATAATTTTGGGAAGTCCTACTGCATTTCAAGCCTTTTCCAAAGCACAGGAGACCTGGCTCTTGGGTGTGATGTAAAACCAAATGCCTGTCTTTGTGACGGTGTGCTCGAGCTCTGATTCCATATGTACTTCCTCATGTTCCCTTTGCTTGCCAGCACTTTCCAGCACCCTTTGTTTACTATCTTTCTCCCTTGTCGGGAAGGAGCGGGTGGTGGGGAAGAAGCATTAGTAAAATGGAAAAGAAACTACCTGGTTACAAGTTAAGTTATCAGAGCAGTCTCAGAACAAATTTATGTGTATTGATTTTAGGCTGATACATCAATTATATAAAGCACACTTTCACTTAACAAGAGATGTGAGCAGTATTCCTACTTGTGGTTGCTGTATGGCATATAAAATCCTGTAGTTATGAGCTGATGTTTTTCTCCCCTCAGAAGTGGAAATACTTCAAGATATCACAGAATTTATGGGTGGATCCATATTCCTGAATCTAACAGAGATGATGCCGGAACACTTCTTCCAGGTAGTCTGGAAAAAGGAAAACACGGAAGTGGCTTGGACAAATGGCTCTTGGTTTTGGTACCATGGAGAATACATTAACAGGTCTGAGATTGTGTCTAGTCACAGCCTGAGACTAGACAAGATTGAGACAAGTGACCGTGGCAGGTATTCTATAGAAGTGAAAGACAGAGATGGCAGAGTTGTGTACGAAGGCATCACTAATGTGAATGTTGGTGAGTATTGCTAAAAAATGAAAAGCTTTCTTGGGTCCAGACTACAGACAGAAACCTGTCTGTGTATTGGGTTATGTAAGAGATTGGGTACTGGATTACCTACTGGATTATGTAAGAGATGGCCCCAAATGCACGAGCAGTCATGTAATTAGCAGAGAGATGAAGCACAGACTTCCTGGGGTAAGCCTTGCTGGGTAAAGCTGGGCGTTCTTTTGCCAGTGCCTACTTCAGCCAGAGTGGCACAAGATGTCGTTTGAGTTCTGTTACTCCGCTGTATCTAGGAAATACTGTGAGCTGTGATAGAGGAATGAGTTTCGGGGGGCCAGTAAATGCTGTATCTTTAAATGATTGCTGGTTTAAATGTATCAGAAGGGCTTTCAGGTGAATTTGAGTTTATGACTGTTCCCCAACTTGAGAACAGGTTCACCTGCACGTCTGCAGGGGTTCCTGTGGTGGGAAAAGCAGGAAACTCTCAATGCAATGCTGCTTATGATGATGGTTTTGTTCTAAACTTCACAGCTTTTGTGATGGAGAAACTGAACCAGAGGGATATAGGGAGACTCACAAGTTTAAGCGAGGTGTGTTGCGAGTAGCAAACAACCTAGCATGTGAAAATAGCATGCCAGCTATTATTACCACTACACCTTATCAATTTCTCAGTTGGTGGCATAAGACAAAGAGCAGCTGGTGGCAGGTTGGCTGAGGTCTGTCCTAATGCCTTGGATTAGAGTGTCCTGTATACGCCTTATGAAAAGCGACCGCTTGGTTGCAGATCACTTAAGGAAAGTCAGTAGGACAACCTCTAATTTTAGAAGTCAGCTTTCTGATATTGTACTCACAGGTCATAAGAAAAATGATTAAGATCACAAAAGCTAGTGGTGTAGCTTCAACCTGCTGTACTGTAAATGTTTTGACAACTAAATTTTAATTGTAGAGCAAAAGGACACACTTGGAAGAAATCCTTCTCTTTATGTTCTCATAGCATCGGCAGCTGTTATAGTTACTATTTTATTGGTTGCACTGATAAGGGGTTTTCAGAAGCCCGGGCACAGGACAGGTAAGAAATCTCCTTCAAAACCTAAATAGCCTATTTAAATAGTAATTGATGCATAGATCCAGTTCTCTGCATTCAGGAGATATCTGACTGTGGGTTTTGGTGTGAGTTTGGTTCAGAGGAGCAGGCTGCAGCTTTACATCGCTGTCAGTGCTGGTGACAGCACATGGCTCTGCTGTAGGGACTGACCGCCTGAGGCCTTTCCACACTGATGGGAGGATTTTCAGCCCTGCTTGCCAAGGTCCGGTGTTGAGAGGCTGGTCCTGTGTCTGCAGGGTGGATTTGTGGCAAGGCTTTAGGAGGTTGTGGCAGCTGCCGTTCTCCTGTTTGTGTGGTGTGTGGTCTGCTGAGAGCTGTGTTATTATTTATTTATTTATTTTTCCTGTGGTGGGACATTGACTGGTAGGATAGGGCCTCATATCTCTGCTTGTGGGACTTGTGCCCTGCTGAACTCCCCTGGGTTTGGTCACTTCTGGGAGCACAGAGTTGGTGAGTGCAGGCAAGGGGAGGGACCCATGTTTCCTCCTGAGCCGGTGAGCTGGGGCTGAAACCAAGGCAACCTTCCCAGGTGCCTGGCAGTGTTGCACAGTATGGATGAAGCTGGTTGCTGCTCCATGTCCCTGTTAGCTCTGAGGCATGTGTGAGTTTTTACCTCTACCTGAAGATTTTTTGTTTTCTTGGTTCTGAGTAGCTCACCCCCAAATGTGGGCAAGATGGGATGGAGAATCTCCTTTCCCTGCTGCAATGCCTAATGGTAGGAGAGGGTGGAAAAGGGTGGTCTCCTGACAAGAAGCAGTTATTGCCCCGCAGTGCTTTGCAGTCGAAATGCAAAGTTGGCCCACCACATAGGTAATGAAGACATAAGGTAGTTTGTCCTGTCTGGTAGGAAGGGGTAGGTAGTTACTTGAAAGGCTTAAAAGCTGAACAGAGGGGGAGGACTTCTCAGAATCATAACATGGCTTGCGTTGGAAGGGACCTTAAACATCACCCAGTTCCAACACCCTGCCATGGGCAGGGACACCACCCACTAGACTAGGTTGTTCAGGGCCTCAACTAACCTGGTCTTGAACACCTCTCTGGGAAACCTGTTCCAGTACTTTACCACCCTTTGAGTGAAGAATTTCCTCCTATCCTCTAATCTCTACTAAGTGATAAGATATAGGGAATTGAGCTATATGCAGACTATGAATTCTTTGACAGCTTTCTGCAAATGCTTCAGGTATATTTGTCTGCTTTTAACTTGACTTGGTTTAACTCCTGGTTAGCAGTGCCAGTCCTACAGCATTCAAGCTTGAGACTAAGAGATGATAGAGACTATCCTGAGCAACAAGAACGGTCTGAAAATGGTGAGTATATTTCATTATGTGCCTTCCTATGGGTCACAGACAGGGATCTAAGAGTGTAATGTGGCTTGTCTGAGTTTGGGTTCATGAGGCATGATTGTCTTATGCAAGCAGAGTACTGTAATCAAGGGGAACTTTTTCTAACATAAAAACATCTGAAATTTGAAAGATCCAAAGACAGCACTTTGAGCTGCCGACAGCATTAATACTAGGATAATTACATGTGTGCTGCACTAAGACTATGCAGATAATGAAAAACTATCTAGATAATGAGTTGTTTCTGCAATCTCAGATCCTTCTTCTGCCCAGCGTAGTGGGCTGTGTTCTCTTTAACGCTGTGCAAACTTGTGGATCTTGGTAGCTCCTCACTGCATGGGGACTGCTGGTGCTTTTGCCTGTTCTTCCACTTGCTCTGCACATTTGTTAGGCGTGACACTTTTTGGGCAGAGGGGCTTGTTCAGATCATGTAGGGCAGGTTTCTCTCCTGTCTTAACTGCAGCGATCCTTCCAATTTGCTGTTGGCCAGCAGTCCTGCTCCCACTAGCTCAGTATGGAGGGAAAGATCCATTTGCATGTTGCTGCCTCAGGCATGACTGGGATATTCTGGGTGTTCTCCATCTGTCATCGCTGGGTGTGAGAAAGTCCAGAGCTGGGGCCCGTGCCATCAGAAAGAAGAGGTACAAACTGAGCCAGGGTTTGTTTGCAGGGCGAGGGGAGTAGGCACCCCAGGAAGGCAGCAGGACTGTGGTATCCCAAGGCCCTTACCTGTCCAGGTAGCAGAGTCCCCTGCGGTGGGGTCAGTCTGTGCTTGTGGGTGCCCCTGTGAAGCTGCAAGGGAGCGTGCACTGTGAGCTCTAGCTTGGAGTGTCATGGTGTCTCTGCTGGCAGCTGGCCACTTGGTTACAACTCATGTAAAGAAAATCAGTGAGACAGCCTTTAATTTAAGGCAGTCCTGTTCACACGTGTTCTTTGACTGCTTCTGCCACCAGTGCCAGCCTTTGCCACTTGCGGCCCTGTCTCTTTCCTGTGTTGTCTTCACTGTCTTGCCTAGTTGTTGGCATTGAGGAGATTTCTGTTCAACTGACTTTTTCCTCCAGCTGAAGAAAGACCCAAGTTGCCAAAGCTGAAAGGCAGGAAAGCTGCAGAGCCTCGTACTTCAGTTCACGAAGTGTGTGGCGTCCCCAGCGTTGAGAACAGCATCCGTCCAGCATTTGAGGACTGCATTCCACCCGATGTTGATTATCCCGCTCCCCCGGTGATTGACAGTGCTCCTGCAGAATCTGAGGAGTTCCCTCTTCCAGGGTTTGAGGACTCGAAAGACAAAGACTGTGCTGTTAAGGACAATGCATACCATGCATCTTCAAGGTGCAAAGCATCCTGGAAATGCAGTGAAAGAAGCAAACCCACTGTGTATGCTTCGATCAGAACAGGGTACGCAGAGGACAAGCCTGGAGATTTGGAATTGAGTTCTTACTATCAGATTTGCCAGGAAACATGTTAACAGTATTAGACTGAGGTTTGGATTCTTCCCTTCTCTCAGCTGGCTTTGAGCTAACATTGCAGTTCTGCTGTTGCTCAGATGAATCTGCTGCTTCACATGCTTAGAAGAATTGGTAGAAGCCTGAAGAGAAGTGTCTCTGGGGATTAGCTTGTTTTCCAGTGATAAGCCCTTCTCTACCCTTTGTGCTTCGGAAGGTCTTCCAGGAGGACCCCTTAGAAACTCCTTGGAGAAGAGGCATGGTAACTAACTGTGAGAGGAGTTGAGCTGAGCCTCTGCCTCTTTGCTTCTGTTAAAAGGCCCCACTGAAGAAAAGCAGGACCTTGGGGATGTCCGAAGGCCATGTCAGGCCCAGACCTCAGTCCCCATTTGTTGTGTGGTCCATGCACCTGTGTAAATGCACAGGGAAGAGGATGAACACCCTAACAGCTTGTTGGACGTGGGCAGCTTGCCAAGCCTTCATCTGATGTATGATGGTACGAAAGGTGCAGTGTAACTCAGTAGACTTGGATGTGATTTCACTGTAGTGTTTGCTAGACAGCACATTAAGGAACTTTTTATTTATTTTTTTTTTTTTAGGAGGAAAAAAGAAATGCAGAGAAACCAGAACATTGCTAGCAAAGGGGTATAGCCATATCTGTAATTAACAAGGCTGTTCATTAACGGCAATTAGATGTGCTTTCTTCAATACCTGTATTAAATTGAATCTCAAATGGCGTGTAGTAATTTTTGTGAATGTTTTTTGTATTACAGCTGTAAGGTGCTGCTTGTAGGTTTCATGAAATATCTTTCCTTATGGAATGCCGAATAAAAGTATTTTCTCTTATAACTGAAGAGCTGTTGCTGAGTATTGCTTTGAACTGGGATTGTTCATATAATGTGACTAAGTACATCCTAATGCCCTATGTGTGGACAGTATCTACAACTTTATATTCTAACCCTAGAATAAACAGATAATTTGTGGTGTCTCTTTACAGCAAAGACATGATCATGATTACAGTCCCACTTCCTCACCGCCCTTCCTTGGGAAGCAGAACAAGCCCTCTTTGTCTTGTTCTGGGAAGGTCGTTCTCACTTTGCTGTGGAGAGTGCACCCAATCTTTCCACATCTTTCTTCACCTGGGTTTCTCACAAATGAGTGCTGTTTTCCCATTGAATTTTACAGCTATCAGGATAAATGCCTGTCTTTACAACTCTTACCCTTCCTACTGTGTTCAGAAAGGAGGTGATAGATTATTATTTTTTTTTTCAAGAGGCTCACCTGCTAGCTCGCATTCAGGCATATCAGAGCAAACACTTGGTTCAAAACCTGAGGTTCGCTTTCCAGTCCATGGTGTGAGTTTGAGTCTTGATGGTGTAAGTCCTCTTTAAATTCCTGATGGATGCTGATAGAAGACCAAGAAAGTGATTCAGCTTATTATAGAACGATATGATCATAGAATATCCTGAGTTAGAAGGGACTCACAAGGATCATTGAGTCCAACTCCTGGCACCACACAGATCTACCCAAAAATTCAGACCATATGACTAAGAGCACAGTCCAAACACTTCTTAAACTCCGACAGGCTTGGTGCCTTGAATATCCTATCGCTGGTCACTAAAGAGCACAGATCAGCACCTGCCCCTCCACTGGTCCCCAGATCTGGTCCTCAGGGAAACGGCTCTGTAAAGGCAGTGCCACCTAGCACGCAACACAGGGAATGTTTTGGAGGAACTTTCCAAGTGATGTCGCCACTGGGGATGTCATTCTGAAGCACCGTGTCTTATGGAGACCAGGTTCTGTGGTGCACAGCCTATTACAAGCTGCAGTTGGAATCTCAAGCTGTCATCTCAGCTTGACTGGCTCCTGAAGTTGGAAGTATGCAGAAAAAAGTCAACAATGCGCTCCAGCCTTTTTAGCCATAATGTTTAATCTGTGGTGGTTTGCAAAGGGGTTTTGTGCCCTGGCAGGAATACGCTGAGGTAGTTTTGTGGCAATGCGATGTAGTTTGGGAAGTTGTCTTGCCCTCTTATGCGTCTCCAACCTCCTCCCTTCATTGAGAGGAGACATCATGAAGCTTGAAGCTATGAATCTCTTATGCAGAATAGGAGCCCCACAAAGTAAAGGTAGCTGTTTGTCTTGGAGGGGGTACGTCTGAATGCCAAACTCATCTTTAGGACCCAAGCAAGACATTAAGCTCTTTCTTCTAATAGGATCATGAGTTTTTCTGCCTGGAACATGATTCAACAGAGCAATCAAACATTTCTTTAGCTTTGAAGATGTGGAAATGGATGCTGGGTTAAAAAGAACCAGCTCCCAGCCTGTCTCTAAGAACAATTGCTTAGGGCCAAAATCTGAGTTTCCTTTCTGTTACATGAAGGTCCAAAGAGACTCCTCCTCCCTTTTCAGTTGAGTTCGGTGCTGCCTAGTCTTAAGATTTTCAGTACTCAGTGGTGTGTGTACCTCAGGCCCTCATATTTTGAGAGGGATTGCACTCCCCTTAAGTAATATGGGAATCCCGTTTTTCCGTCTCAAGGGGGAATGGTGTAATCATTGCAGATTGTGGTTGTAGTCAATTGCCATGTAAATTAAGGCCACACAAGTACCTTGTAGTGTTTCATCCTCCCTTTCATTTGTAGTCTGGTTACTCCTAAATACTACATATTGGGTGAAATGTCCTAAGAAAACATTACTTTTTAATTTGAACAACTCTCTTTTTCTCTCCCCCCCCCCCCCCCCAAGTCTGCCAGTAGCTGACATGGTAGAAAGACCTGCTTTTCTCTTTCATTCTTGTGAAGTTAGAGGCAGTGCCCATTTAAACTGCAACTGAGGCTCTGCAACGATGCAAGTCTATCTTACTCTTTCAAATTCAGTGATGCTACCTGAGTTTCCATTAATTAGCTTTCAAGGATTCAACCAATTCAAAGCTTTTGGACAATGACAATTATTTGGAAACATTCCTATGGGTTTATTTTCTTCATTTACATTTGTTTGCTCTCTCCATCCCATTCAAAGCAGTCAGGACTGGTTTGCTTCTCTCTTCTCCAGAAACTTGCACTAGGAACCGTTGTTAGAATCAGAAACCTGTTCTAAGAGCAAGATGAAAAATGTTGCACTCCAAGTTGGAAATTGGAGAGGAAAATGCTCCTGTATATGTAAGAATTGTACTCAAACAGCTGATTACACTTTTTCTTACCCCTTAACAGATGCTTACACCTTTTAACTTTAAACCTGAGAAGCAATGGGTAGTTTCTACATTTCCCTTGGGGATAGCGTACTCTTCTGTACCTTGCTTCTATACAAACAGTTCAAAATTTTAAAGTCATGTTGTCAGTCATTCACCCAAACAACCTCGCACGGCATTACATGTTCCCCCCCCCTTCCCCCCCCCCCCCCCCCCCGAAATGTCAAGCCCTGAAGGCAAGACCAGATAAGTAAATAATGCAAACATATAAAACTAACTTGTAAATACATTACATTTTGGCAGTTTTTTGGCACTTTGTGGGGCTTAACTGCGCTTCAGTGAGAAGAACGTCTGCTGTTGTGAACTGAAATTACGCCTCTGTGCCACAATGTATTTTTTTGTTTGTTTGTTTTTGGAGGGGAGGGGGTGGGACAAAATTACTTGTGGACACCTGCAAGAGTTGCGAAATAATAATAAAATTTAGGTGAAGGAAAAGTTCCTTCTGTGTTGTTGTTGTTTTTGTTTTCTTTTCCATGCAGTCTTAAAATGAAGGTCCCATTTTCAGGCCCTTGGCAGATTGTAAGTGTGTCGGAACACTTCACGCTACGTAGATCATATTTGTCTGAAATGATAATATCATCCTGTGAAATATGTTCATCTGATTCGTGTCAATATGGAACAATGCTAGGGCCTCATAATGAAATGCGACCTTCTGTCTTACATCCTCTTGTATAAATAACTGCAAGTCCAAGAGAAACAGAGTGGTTAGTGTATATAGTCCTTGTATCTTGCAAAAGGATGGTCTAGCAGTTCATGTCGACAGAGGGTTTGAAGGGTAAACCTTGAGACACGGGTCTGGGAGATAAGAGAATAGGGGGGAGTTTTTTGAGATAACTGCTGACTATTGCATGAGACACAACTTTCTGACATCTGGCCCAGAGACTACTAAATGAGGAGGGGGGGGGGGGAAGCTGAAGAATGACCGAAGGACGAAGAATGGGAGGACGACTATGAGCCTTCAGTCTTCAAAAGGGAAATGAAGTTATCCTATTCAGAAAAAAACACCATCCAGAAGAAACTTCGGTTGTTTTCAGGGCCTGAATTCTCACTGAAACCAAAGGCGGGCATAGAATCATAGATTATCCTGAGTTGGAATGGTCCCCTAAGGATTATTGAGTCCAACTCCTGGCACCACACAGGTCTACCCAAAACTTTAGACCACGTGACTAAGTGCACAGTCCAAATGCTTCTTAAACGCCGACAGGCTTGGTGCAGTGGCTGCCTCCCTGGGGAGCCTGTTCCAGTGTGCAACCACCCTCTCAGTGAAGAACCTCTTCCTGATGTCTAGCCTAAACCTCCCCTGCCTCAGGCTGACACCATTCCCGGGGGTCCTATCACTGGTGACTGGAGAGAATAGATTGGTACCTGCCCATCCACCCCCCTTCGCAAAGAAGCTGTAGACTGCGACGAGGCCTCCCCTCAGCCGCCTCGTTTCCAGGCTGAACAGGCCCAGTGACCTCAGCCGCTCCTCATACGTCTTCCCCTCTAGGCCCTTGGCCATCTTTGTAGCCCAGTATCTTACTGACTTGAAGAAAGAGGCTTTAATCTCTCCTGCTTTGTTTACTAACGAAGGAGCACGAAAGAGACGCATGTCCTTGCCTCTGGAGAGGAGGTGAAAGAACAGCCAGTGCAGGGAACACAAAAATCGGTTGCGCCAGACTAACATGCGGTTGTATCTGAGCTTGGGGACTGCAACCCTCTTCAGACTTCCAGATCTATAGGAACACTTTGGCTGCAGCCTAAAAGCCACGTGTACATAAGCTCCCCCAGGCCAGCTGATCTTCTTCCCATGACCTGCCAGGAAGCAGCAATGTAGGCATGTACCCAAATCAAAGCCCAAACCTTCAGCCCAGTCCTTGACCCGAATAGCGAGTGAGGATCTGGATCCTGGCATTTGTATGTGACAGCTTATACACAGTGGAAGTAAATAGTGTAGTCAGAGGTCACGGGGCTAGATTTTGGAAAGTCCTGCATCAAGAAGACATCTCAGAAAAGCAGATTTAAATAACATTAGTGCCAAGAAAAGTCATTCTGATTGCTACATTCTTTATCTGTCGTGACTAGACAGATGAAAATCTATGATAGCAATTTTGCCTTTAAGGTCATTTTCTTTTTTCTTTGATTTCTTTTCTTTCATTTGTTTATTTATCTATTTATTTATTTTAACAGGCTCTGTACTACTTTTCCTTACAGAACGTCTAACATAAATATGACCCTTGTGCACCTTTTGCAGTTCATTCATTAGGTCAACCCTAACCACTAAGCCACTTGTCAGGTTCTTTCTACTAGTGATAATCACAGAATCACAGAATTTCTAGGTTGGAAGAGACCTCAAGATCATTGAGTCCAACCTCTAACCTAACACTAACAGTCCCCACTAAACCATATCCCTAAGCTCTACATCTAAATGTCTTTTGAAGACTTCCAGGGATGGTGACTCCACCACCTCCCTGGGCAGCCTGTTCCAGTGCCTCACAACCCTTTCAGTAAAGAAGTTCTTCCTAACATCTAACCTAAAACTCCCCTGGCACATAAGGAGCAATTGACCTTAAAAGACTGAAGCCAGGTAGAGGAGCCTATTCCACAAGGTGTCTTGGCTCCACCCTTGTGAAGTGAAACCGGCCAGGTGTGGGTCATTTGACCTTTGCTATATAGGAAGCCTGAGGAGTTATAGGGAAGTACCTCCCTGGGGGTAGTTTGAGGCCCAGGTTCTCTAGGGTGCTTTTCTGCTGTTGTGGTGAAGTGGACTCAGTGTTCCCCAGTGGTCTGCTTTTACTTCGTGTTTCCTCCCATCTCTGTGCAATAGTTTGAGTGACTCTATGAACTAGCTGTGTTGTTGGTGCCTCCTCAGTACAGTGAGAGCCTGGTGGTGTGACTTCACTGTGAAGCTGTGTGGAAGTGACTCAAGTTCAGGAGCTGGCAGGTAAGTGTTCCTGGGTTCTACAGTACTTTAATGTTGAGGAGTTGGAGTACTTCTTTCACCTTGTCTGTTTTCAGTGGAATTACTTCTGTGGATTCTAAGCTCCCTTTCCAGGCCTTACACAAATAATAAATAAAAACAACTTGCAACCAACTCAGAAGCTCAAGTGCTTACAGTTAAGCCTGACTTTGCAGAATGTGCTTAACTACTCCTTAAGCTTGAACAACAGGCAGTGTGAAAAAGGTGCCTTAATGTGAACTCACATTAAGCCCTGTGGTAAGTAGAAACAGATTGGGATAGGTACTGGTGGCATTACCGTAACTTTCACTAAGTGGAAATAGCGAGATTGTGCAGCTCATAACAGAAATGCCATTTTCCCAACATGAGAGTCAAAGGCAATATGAAGAAAGCCTCTCCTCTTCCCTACTGGCCTGTGTCTCAGCTGTGGAGAAAGTTTTGGAAGAGGTCTGCCAACTGAGAGAACCTCTCTGCCTCCCCACCTGTATAAACCGGTGTCTGAGGTATTGGGGAAAGCCTCCTTCTGTGAAAGGCAGATAACAGAGTGGGAACAAGGCCTGAGCAACCCTGTGGTTTTACCAAGGTGACCATGCAGAGGATGTGAGAGAAAAAGAAGGAAAATGGATGCTGACATTAAAGGCATGGGTACTTGAGTTGCGAATAAAAACAATGGGGGGGAAAAGGGGTTCTGAGAGAAAAGGGCTGGTCCCCAGGGCTACAAATGTGAGAGCTGCCTTGTCCTTCAGTAAAGAGAGTGCTGTAGTAGGGTTCAGGTTGGAATTTTTGCTTCTGTAGTGTTAAGCAAAAGGATGAGAAGAGAAATACTGTTAGCTTGGCTTTGCTGACCCCTACAGTCTGTTCAGGTTTTCTCTGGAGAAAAGCTATTTGTGATGTATAATAGTCACTGTAATTGAGACTAGCAGAGTTTCATATAAATTTCTCTGCTCTTTAGAGACCATGAACAGTTGTATGCATGCAAATAACCTTCAAGGCTGTGAAGAAAAAATATATTGCTATCATCCATGTCATGTTAGCATATCTATTAAGTGCTTTAAATCTCTAAACCCATCTATTTTACTATGTAACCTGAAAATGAAAAATAATCTGTGAAAAGATGAGCAGACATCTGCAGGAGGGTGTTGAAAATACTGTTTTTTTTGTGTTTTTTTTTTTTTTTTAGTAAAAGTATACTGTGCCAGGAAAGAATCATTCTTCACATACAGCAGATATGCTGACAGAAGTGGCAGAAACTGGCAGAAAAGCTTTCTTAAAATAGAAGATTTTGTTAGTCTTGATGATACATTGGAAAGATAAATGTCCAACATCTCTGCATTGATGCTCTGCTTTAAATGTTGTTGAATGAATGAGCCCAGGTGAGCAAACCTTGATGGATGCTTGTATTGTAGGCCTCTGTAGTAGAAGAGATTTGGCTTCTCTAGTTGAAAAAAGACCTTTGTCTTGCCATGGCCATCATGTGTTGTGTACATCATGCAAGGGAAGGTGGTAGACTATATCTGACTGTTCTCTGGTTTGGTGAGTTGTCCTTGCCTGGATTTCTTTCTTTCTTTTTTTTTTTTTTTTTGCATATAAACCCTTGTCCAGATTCAAATCAGTATCTGAATGTTGTTAGTTTGCATCTAGTCAGATGAAGTAAGTGTTGTTTCAAGATGCTCAACACTTCCTATCTTGCTGCAATGAGCTCTCTTGGTGTGAAGATATAGTCTTCACCTTGCTTGGGTAGATGAGGCTGACTGATGACAGCTGTGCTTCTGATAGGAAACAAAATGGGTCTCCCTGTGTGTTGGCCTCCACTCCTTCCTTTACAGGTGTGATCAACACAAGCAATGTAAGTGTGTAGGAGGGCCAAAGTGAAGTGCTCTCCTCTGTGAAAGAAGTGTAGAGGTAAGTCCATGTGTGAAGCTAAATGACAGTACAGTATGTGAGCTAGTGTTTTCATTAGGTTAGCACTGTCTCAATCTTGTTTTCTCCTTAATTGTTCTTTTAAAAACACCACTGGCTCTAACCTTGTGCTTTGTTGCCTTGTCCAGGATCATAAGCTGTGACTGTAAATTATGTGTTTTGCCAGCCTCATTTCTCTGCTGTGGGATCCTGAGTGGGATGTCTCATGTTTAGAGTGCTTCTAAATGTGGAACTGAGCTTTGCTGTTTGTGAAGATACCATGGCATTGGGAATGGTTCTAGTCTCTGTAATAAGCTACTTTATGGACACGGATCTTGAAGAAACCAAAGATGGTGTTGAGTTGCTGGGGGTAGTTCCTTTCTGATGTGTGACACAGAAAGTGTTCTTTCAGTTCTGTCTGCTCGGGAGTGTGTATGCATGTGTACAGGAGAACATTAATATGAATGCTGAACTGAGAACTACATATTCTTGCCATATATACAGATAACATCTACCAAATAATTAGTCATCACCCTTTCTGTGAAGGAAACTGGGCATCTCAGCTATTGGTTTACTGTATCCCACTTTAGTTGGATCATCTGGATTTTCATCTGGTGCATTATTCTTGAGCTATCAACAGTTCGGCAAACTCTTGAATAGAAACGTAATTTTCTTAAGGGATGTGTGATCGGGGGGTGGGAATTGCATTCACAGTCTCATTTCAAGCAGTTACAGGTTGGAGGTTTTCTCCATGAGCATGGTCCTTGTTAGTAAGCGTTTTTGAAAGAATAGAGATAAGTATTTGATGCTTCCCAGAGGATGTTGTGTAAGGAAGTTTCTGGTGCAAATTTACCACTCAGCCTCAACTGTTAATTTACTTAAAACAAGAGGTAAGATGGAGATCATTTTTATACTGCTACAGTAAGCTAATTCAGCAGATTGTGTTCAGTTGCAAGCATGTGTTTGGAAGGATGCTTTGCTTGGTTGGGAAGGTGACACACTACAAATAGCTCATTTGTTTTCTCTACTGCACACCATCTAATCGTTCTTTGTGATTTCCAGTATATGGCTCCTTCCTGACATATAATACCTATGCCACTAATGTTAGTGGCATGTCTATCAGTCCTGAAATTAACATGATGGCAGTAGTAATGATATTAATGCTGACTCTTTAAAGTTAATTATTGATATGGTGCACTTTATTTTTCAATTTTTGGACAGGAGGATGCTTGCTAAGGTTTGCTTTCTTGAATAATACTATGTGAATGGTAGGAAATACTAAGATTCCTCAATTTCCTTTTTATGTTGTAGACTTCCATGTAGACCGAGAATGTTTTTCATAAGCTCCACTGCTATAAAGAAAGATCTGGCTATAAATGGATATCTTCCTTTGCGTGCCATGTGACAGTGAAGATTGCAAGAAGATTCAAGCCTAACAGTTGTGTAACAGGGCTGATGGAAGAACAGCTCTGAGAAGAGCTACACAACCTTTTCCACCATGGATACGGACTGAAAAATTTTGGTTGCAAAGCTGAACAAGCTATCTTGTTTTTATAGCTGATCTGTTACTTTCTCCTAATCCTTGTGTATGCTATCTGAGCACAGAGAGGGTCAGAGACATTACTGTGGCTTGCTTTTTGCTGTAAAATGGTGCATACAGGACTGGTTTCTTGTTTGTGGTCAGTAAACAAGTGCGGAGGGTTATTTTTGAGTAGTCCCAATTAGGTAGTCTAAGTCACTTGTTAGTCCACAAAGTATCTAATGTGGTAGTGAGAGGACAGATGAATTCTGTGCTGTGCAAAAAATACTTCATGAGTTTTTAAGACACACTAGTGCATGCGTGGTGGTTTTCCCCAGCTGGGCTGCTGAGCTCCACCACAGCTGCTCTCTCACTCCCCCTCTGCAAAGTGAGGGAGAAAATACGATGCAAAGGGCTCAAAGTTCAGCCTGTGGGTCTTTGTTTCTATTCTATGCTTCAGATACAGCATCATCCAGACCACTTCATTTTGTAGCTCAGAAATGTATGAATCTGGGTATCGAATGTTTTGTATTTCCAGAGCATGGTGGTGTGTGAACTGTACATGGGACAGTGGATAGTTAGTTTTGGTTGTGCTTGATTTAGAGCAACTGGCTTGTACTGGTAGGTAGGAGGCAGGGAGTCTCCTAAAGAACTAGACTCAGCAATAGATTTTTGGGGTTTTTATAGTGGAATCATTGTCCTCAGCAGTGCTTAAAATGGATGCAGGACAGTGCAAAAGAAACCTTTATCAGGTGATTAACAAATAGAACTTAAATACGGTAGTTAATAATCTTAGTGACTTACTCTGAAGGATCAGATCCTCTGTTTTTTCTTACGGGGTGTCACTTTGCTGTCACCAGCTACTGTCTTTGGTTTAAGGTGGTTATGCTAGAATGTCCTTGATTTTGGTTATGTAATTTTAGTCGTTCACAGCACTCACACTAAAGTCAGGACTTGAATGCTAGAAATCTGAAATTAGGCTATTAAAAGCCACAGTTTGGCCTGCGAAGATAGCTAGTTTCTGTTCAGGTGTGGTGTAGTCAGCAACTTGTCAATATGTGCAGTGTTGATAGAAGACCAGTGTTTGTCTGAGTTTTTAGATATTGGCCAGTCATGATTGATCCTTTTCTCTCTGCCTTTGTAAAAGGCATCCAGTCCTGGGCTTCCTAGTGCACAAACAAAGGATAATTAATGGAAAACTTACCTATCTGGTACCTCCAGAGTGTTTGGAGGAGTGTTATGTGGTAATTAAACAGATCTGAAGATGATAGCTCAGAGGAAGCTTTTAACAGAAATGGTAAATGTGGACATACTGTTAGCATTATTTCTGGAGGACAGATTTGGTTCTGGAGGAATTAGCATATAGCCCATACTCAATGTCACCTTATTTGGACAACGCTCACTTCAACCCCTGTACTGTATGGCTAAAATTAACAGAGTTATGCTTTTTGTGTCCTCTTAAGGACAGCTACATTCAGACTGTCTCCAGTGCACTACTGTCTCTCAAAAACTGTTTATTGCTCTTTGTGCAAGAGGAAGTAAAACCTTAACTATCAAACCTTACTGA